TTTTTTTGAGACAGAGTCTCGCCCTGTTGCCCAGGCTGGAGTGCAGTGGCGTGGTCTCAGCTCACTGCAACCTCTGCCTTCTAGGTTCAAGTGGTCTCCTGCCTCAGCCTCCCGAGTAGCTGAGACTGTATTATTTCTTATCCAATACTTCAAGCACCCAAAGTAGATCTTAAAAAGGGAGAAGGCAGAATAATAAATGGAAATCTAACTTTAATGGATAAGCTATGAATTAACTCTCCCCTTCAATAATGCAGCATGATAGGGTTCTGCTAATGCATGTGTGGTTTTGAGTCATTTGTGAAATGAGTGAGGTTAATGTGGCATCTGGAACCAACCTCAAGCACAGCAGATCCAACTGCACAGGCCAGCGGGCTTCCTCCAAAGGTGTTGAAGTGCTGCAGGCATTTCGCCAAGGATTTGGCAATCTCTAGAGGGAGAAAATAGAAGGTGTGGAAAGAGGACACATTCCTGTCTTCCATCTCTCATCGTGCCATTTGGACTACAGTTACTGCGTGTTGTAAATGGCATCCTATCCAATTCATCCTTCATTCACCTGATAGTAGGTGTGAGGGACTGAATTGTATCTCCTCAAAATTTATATGGTTGAAGCCTTAACCCTGAATATTTGGAGATAACGCCTTTAAATAGGTAATTAGGTTAAATAAGGTCATGAGGGTTGGGCTCTAGCTAATCCCAATGGACTGGTTTTCTTATAAGAAGAGGAAGAGGCAACTTTCCTTTTTCCACCCCCTCTCCCTCTTCCATATACCTCCATAGTGTGGTGGAACCCTGTGTTTCATTGTAGGCATGGGAGGGCTAGTTTTCCCTACAGCAAGATCAGAAAGTGCTGGCCTTTGGATGGGGGCACAGGGGCTCATGCCTGTAATCCTAGTACTTTGGTAGGCTGACATGGGCAGGTCACCTGAGATTAGAAGTTCGAGACCAGCCTGGCCAACATGGTGAAAACCTGTTTCTACTAAAAATACAAAAATTAGCTGGGCATGGTGGTGCACATGTGTAATCCCAGCTACTTAGGAGGCTGACACAGGAAAATTGCTTGAACCTGGGAAGCAAAAGTTTCAGTGAGCCAAGATCATGCCATTGCACTCCAGCCTGGGTGACAGAGCAAAACTCTGTCACCAAACAAAAGGAGTGGGGCTGGCTTTCTTCTATCTGTTTCACAGTCAGGCAGACAGTTTCTCTCATTCATTTGCTTGGGAAATGCATCGTGCAGTTTCCAATCCATACAGGTTCCAGCACACGTGTTTTATACTATAGCCCAATGTACGAGGCCCAGAAGCAAACACAAACTGCCTATGGGTCCTACCTGGAGTGGTTACGACTGCTGCCATGGGAAAGCCATTCCCAATCCCTTTAGCCATGGTGACAATGTCAGGCAAGACATCGTGGGTTTGGAAGCCCCAGAAGTGAGAGCCCAGCCTTCCAAATCCTGTCTGCACCTGGGAAAACAAATTCAAAACCATTGGAGACCCTTCAAGAAATGCTGTTTTCTTTTCTGTTCTCTTCCCTTTCCTCCTCTTTCTCCTCCTTCTCATTATGGCCAACATCAGCCGTTATCATCAGCATCCTGTAGTATCATGGACAAAGCACTTAATCTGTGCCTGAACTGTTAGGTTTCAAGAGTCATTTTCTAGCTTTGTGCAATTCTGGGTATGTTTCTTAAATCCTTGGAAGCTCTGCTAACTCATCCATCAAGTAGAAATAGGACAATATGTCACAGGCTCCGTGAGGGTCATACAAATAATATGAAAGGCATCATTATGATTAACAGTCTTTGATGAGCATCTCCTCTGTGCCAGAAAGCAGGGTAGAAAAGTAGAGAAGCTAGGTCTGCCCCAGGGTAGATGAAGCAGCCGTTACTGTCAGTCAAGTGGAGCTGGGGCACTTGCTCTAGCCAGTTAAACTGGTCACCCTCTTCCCAGCGATGCCTTCCCCTTCCTGAGAACTGTGTCATGAGGAGGACCTAGTGGAGCCAGCCAACTCAGGGTTGAACTTCTCTAATCTATAAATTGTTTGGACTAAAAGTTGACCTTAGTTTTTTTGTGCATGCTGTTTGCTCTTTCTAGAAGACCCTCTTCCTACTTCTTCATCTCACTGACTTCTGTCCTTCAAAACAAACTTTGCCATCACTTGGCTTCTGAAGGTTCTCCTGAGCCTTAGACTCCCTCTCAGGGTACTCTGGGCATGCTGCCATCAGAGACTTTCATAGAGGAATATTATCACCAGTGGCCATATCCGATGGCAGGGGCTGTGTCTTCTTCCATTCTCCATCCACAACACCTAGTACAGTGCCTGATACAAAGTAGACATTTAGTAAGCACTTTTGGAATGAATGACAGGGTGGCAGAAGTGCCTGATTAAATAAAGCCACACAAACATCTCCATGTACATTTCTGCCAGAGCCTTTCTGACGAAGGCTCCTTGATCTCTTCCTGGCTCTCAGTCTCCCTGTCTGTCTCTCTCCACACATATACACAATAGAGAGGAGGAAAAAATGTTCTGTTCTTAGAAGGTAAAGCCATTTCTTGTGGGATTCAAACCCAGGCCTTCGGACTCTAGAGTCCATGCTTCTGTTCCACACATATACACAATGCAGAATGGGGGTTAGAGATGTGGGCACTTGAAGCTGATTCTAACATGCACTTAAAAGAGTGAGCTTCCAGGCCCGGCACGGTGGCTCATGCCTGTAATCTCAGCACTTTGGGAGGCTGAGGTGGATGGATTACCTGAGGTCAGGAGTTTGAGACCAGCCTGGCCAACATGATGAAACCTCGTCTCTACTAAAAATACAAAAATTAGCTGGGCATGGTGGTGAGCACCTATAATTCTAGCTATTGGGGAGACTGAGGCAGGAGAATTGCTTGAACCTGGGAGGAGGAGGTTGCAGTGAGCCGAGATCATGCCACTACCCTCCAGCCTGGGAGACAGAGTGAGACTCCATCTCAAAAAAAACAAAAACCAAAACCAAAAACCAAAAAAACAAAAAAGAGTGAGCTTCCTTCTCAGATTCCTTTCTCATTTTCCTATTTTCTCTAGGCTACTGCAGCAAAGACAGATTCTAGGGGTTAGAAGTAGATGATAGTGACCAACGCAGAAAAGCTTAACCCGGGAGTCAGGCAGACCTGGGCTGGTATCCTGAGTTGCCTCCTTCCTACTTATGAGCCTCTGGGCAGCTGACTGATTTTCCCAAATGAGATAATATAAAAGGAGCTCATGGAAAATCCATCCATTTTGTCTTCATGCCTATCTTTCTTTTTCACTCCATCTAAACACCATACATAAATGGCATAAATGGTGAAAAATCAGATTGATTGGACAATGTGTAACAGTGGAAAGGGGGCCTAGCATGACTAAATCCATTTTGCTCCTAACCAGCTTGCTCTCACCCTTCCCCTGTGATGATGTCTTTTAGGTTAACTGCTTTTGTTTATCTCTGCATATAGGCTAACCTAACTATGGGAGGAATTTAGTTTATAGTTTAACTTTAAAGCAAGGATGCTTTAAAAAGAATCCCTAAGGAGATAAGAAGGGTGTACATACAAGTAACAATGTTACATTAAAAATTTATAGGCTGGGTGCCGTGGCTCATGCCTGTAATCTCAGCACTTTGGGAGGCCAAGGCGGGAGGATCACTTGAGGTCAGGAGTTCGAGACCAGCCTGACCAACATGGTGAAACCCCATCTCTGCTAAAAATGCAAAAGTTAGCGAGGGGTGATGATGCATACTTGTAATCCCAGGTACTTGGGAGGCAGAGGCAGGAGAATCACTTAAAACTAGGAGGTTGCAGTGAGCCGAGGTTTCACCATTGCACTCCAGCCTGGGGTACAAGAGTGAAACTCTGTCTCAAAAAAAAAAAAAAATTATAACAGTATTGTGACCTGACCAAGGACAAAGACGTTTATCCTTGCTGTGGCCCAAATGTCTGTGGTCATCAGTCACCTATCGACTTCAACCTCCTTCCTCTTCCCCTTTCTCTTAACATAAAAGGAACCTACATTTGCTTAAGGTGGTTCTTTAGGAAACAAGTCTGCCATCTTCTCAGTTTGCTAGCTCCCCAAAACAAAGTGGTCTTCCTTGCCCCAATACCTTATCATTTGACTTACTGACTGTCTTGCAGGAAGTGGTACAAGCTTTGGACTCAGTTACAAATGCATGGAATTATGTAGAACAAGAAATCATGTTTAGTCACTAAGGAAGTATCTTAGTCACTGAAGAAGTATCAGTTTCATAGAATTTTACAGTAGTACAGAGATGAATCATTCTAAGGTCGATAAACTCAAATGTCTTTGAAGATGAGGAGCATACATTAGGGAGAGAAGCAGGCTGGGTCATAACAGCAAGCAGTGGGGGGACCAGGGGTGTGCACGCCCTGCCTAAAGCAGTCAGTTTCAAACTCAAAGTCAGTCTATTCCAATATGGGTCCAGGGGCTGCCAGTTTTCTACCTTTAATCCAGATTCCACATTTTAAAGAAAATAATGCCACTGATTGTTAATTAAGATGTGTCAGGCACTGTTCATAATACTTTGCATGTATTAATTCAGTCAACAGTTCTATAGTATACCCCATTGCTATTATTCCCATGTATTAGTCCTTTCTCATGCTGCTGATAAAGATATACCTGAGACTGGGTAATTTATAAAGAAAAGAGGTTTAAAGACTGGTTTAAGTCTTGTGTAAGACTGCTCCTTGACAGAACTGGCCCTCTGCACTCAGGGTTTTCCATCCTCTGTTCCTTCCCTTTCTGTCATGATTTGTGTTTCTATACCATACTCTGTCATTTTGGAGGGGCAGCTTGATACACTGGCTAGTCATGTGGTTTTGGGAGCCTGAATCTGAGTCTTGGATCTGTTCCTACCAATGGCATAAGCTTGACAGGTTATTTAACCACCTTGGACCAAAATTCACTTATATTTAAAATGGGATGATATGATTTAGCTGTGTCCCCACCCAAATCTCATCATGATTGTAGCTCCCATAATTCCCACGTGTTGCAGGAGGGACCTGGTGGGAGATAATTGAATCATGGGGGCGGTTTCCCCCATTCTGTTCTCATGGTGATGAAGAAGTCTCATGAGAACTGATGGTTTTATCAGGGGACCGCCTTTTTGCTTGGCTCTCATTCACTCTTGTCTGCTGCCATGTAAGATGTGCCTTTCTACCCCCACCATGATTATTAGGCCTCCCCAACCACATGGAACTGTGTCCTTTGAACTTCTTTTTCTGTATAAATTACCCGATCTTGGATATATCTTTATCAGCAGCATGTGAAAGGACTAATATGTGGGAAAAATAGCAATGGGGCATACTATAGAACTATTGATAGGTATGGACTGAATTAATACAGGCAAAATGTTATGAACAGTGCCTGACACATAGTAGGTACTCAGAAAGTTCCAGCTATCCTTATCTTTACCTAGTCATTGGGATGGTCCTTCTTAAGGATACCCTGTGTTAGATAGTTTTCAATTACATTTTTGAAAGTCACAAAACAAGACAGAAAATTCTGAAATTCATATTTTCTTTGAATTCAGCCTACCTTCTCTTTAACTAGTCTGACTGTGACAGCTTCACTATGTGCTGATTTGGAGGCCAAAGTTTATCCTTTTTAGTGATGTAGCTAATTTTAAACTGACTGGATATACTCTTCTTTTTAAAATAGCAGATTAACTTTCACCAGCCAGGACTTTGATTGGTTTGCAGGCAGGTTGGAGGAGGGAGGATGGGCACAGCAGGAGCAAACTGGCCCAAGTTGCCTGTGGCATACCAGGGGCATCCAGTGTGCCTAGGCATAACAGAGACCCAGCTGCACAGCCAGAAATTGCAACATTTCTGCTGATGGGGCAGTTCAGTGTCAACTGTAGGGAATTTTAATTTATTTATTTAATTTTTTTGAGCTGGAGTCTTGCTCTGTTGCCAAGCCTGGAGTGCAATGGCATGATCTTGGCTCATTGCAACCTCCGCCCCACCCCCTGCCCCCACCTGGATCAAGCATTCCCCTGCCTCAGCCTCCTGAGTATCCAGGATTACAGGCATGCACTACCACATCCAGCTAATTTTTGTGTTTTTAGCAGAGACGGGGTTTCATTGTGTTGGCTGGGCTGGTTTCCAGCTCCTGACCTCAAGTGATCCACCAGCCTCAGTCTTCCAAAGAGCTGGGATTACAGGTGTCAGCCACCATGCCCGGCTTAGCTGCAGGGAATTTTCAGTTGAGGAAATGTATTCCAGCAATGATGGCTGGACTGAAATAGGTGTGAATCATACTTACAGGTTCTCCACCTGTCCTTGGCTGGTCTAACCACCTGTTAGTCCAATCACTATAGGTCACCCAGCAGTAAGCCTGGACTTCTGTGGCCCTCGTGATCATCCTCTGGTCTTTTAATTTCCATAGCTATTCTCAGTAGACAGAGGACTGCTTTCTCTGATATACTCTAATATGAGGTGTAGTTATAAGTAAATTAATCCCTTTTAAAAGCACACAGGCTAGTGCTCACATAGTCAATGAATTTTATTTCTATTAAAGTAATGCCCTTGGAGGTAGTGTGCTTATTCCACCAACGCTGATTTAATTCCACCTATTTCACAAGTTTTTGGTAACTATTTTCAAAGGCAGTATCTGCAGGGGTGGTGCTCTTCTAATTTAGAGGCTGGATTACTATTATTATTTTAAAAACATTATTTCCAGGCAAGCTTTGTCAGAAAGGTATATGCTGCCAGGTTGATAGATACTATTTTGGCAAAAATAAAGATTAAAAACTGGGCTATTGGACTGGGCACGGTGGCTCACACCTGTAATCCCAGCACTTTGGGAGGCCAAGATGGGCAGATCACTTGAGGTCAGGAGTTGGAGATCAGCCTGGCCAACATGGTGAAACCCCGTTTCTACTACAAATACAAAAATTAGCTGGGCGAGGTGGCACATGCCTGTAGTTCCAGCTACTTGGAGTCTGAGGCAGGAGGTTGCAGTGAGCCAAGATCGCAGCACTGCACTCCTGCCTGGACGGCAAAGTGAGACATTGTCTCAAGAAAACCAAACAAATAGAAACAATAACAAAAAACTTGTTATGAGATTAAATTTCCTATGTGGTTTGTCAGTCCCTGAAACAATCCCTAGAAAGGAATTAAAAAAATACATTGAGTCACAGTATAATAACATCACATAGGCCTATTAGCAACTTACTTGATAGATGTCTATTTGGATATTTAAGTTCTGTGGTACTTGCTAAACTGATCAGCGAATGTACTAGCAAACCAACCAGCCCACTAGCAAAAGTTTTATTCGTTTGTAGGCACACTTTGGAATCCACAGAGCAGAGGCTTTCTGCCTGGAACACAGAGGAAGTTTAGGAGGTTTCTGTCTGTGCCTCGCCTGTTCCCACCACACTTAATGGCACTCTTACGTATCACTTACTTCATCGGCAATGCACACGCCTCCCCTTGCCCGCACCAGCTCAAAGGCTTCCTTTAGAAACCCCTTTGGGTACTGGACAACTCCATTCACACCCTGCAAAAGACCAGACTAAGTAGGCCTATAATAACAGCATCAGTTTTTTAAAAGTGTGTAAAAAGTTAGATCATCATCATCATTATCATGATAATAACACTACAGACTGATTAACAACACTCTGCAGAGCAGTTTCCACTATGGGTGAAAAGAAGAGTTACTGCTCTATACCATAACTTCCGGAAAAAAGATGCAAACATTTATTATTTTCTGAGATTAGAAAACAGAATAAAGGAACTTGGTGAGATTAAAGAAAGAGTTCTTCGGACAGTGTGGTTGTTATTAAGCAGCTAAAAATAGCCAGGGTTTTCCCTTCTTAAGAATTTTAGGAGTTCAGTAGTTTCATCTGTTTGGTGGGAATGGAGGAGAGGGTTTTTAAAAGGTCATTTGAAAGTCAGTGTCTTCTTTTTTGCAAGGAGACCAAGAGAATGAATTGAGAGATAAATACAGTGAGCACTTAATTCATTTGGAATTCTCTAGAATATACGAGTTAAAACTTTCTGATAATTGCAGATTTAGCTCCATTAGTGTCTAAGGTTCATATACCCACTTGAATAGGTTCTGCAAAAAATCCAGCAATTGAGTTGGCCACAGATGTACTCAGCGTATCTTTGAATTGCTCAATATACTGATCTTTAGCTTGGCAGCAGTCTGCAAAAAGCAAACAACAAAACAAACCACAGCATTTGAAAATGTGAGCCTGATATCTAGAAGCATGGAGAAAAACAGGAAAAAAAAAATACCAGACAGGGTAAGTCAATTATGGACTTCAGAATATGGTAAACTAGGGGGTGAGAATATGCATTTCTGAAAGGGGAATATTCTGTCTGAATGACTTCTACTTTGGTTCAAGGAGGGAGATTAGGATAGCCACAAAGGCATAAACAAACCACTTCAATTCTTTCCATCTGGGAAAGAAACATCCCAAAGTGTCATTGAGCTGGTATAGACAGCTCTTTCACCTAAGGATGCCCATCCTCTCAAGTGGGTGGATCTAACTCAAATGAAATTGGAGTGATTTCATCTATTTGAAAATAACTCTATTTACCTTTCATTGCCATTTAATCCGATGTGCAATTTTAAAGCTACAAAGTTTCTTTGTCTTTAGAGTTAGTAAATAAGTTTGTGGAACAATTAGAATTCAGTCTAAAGAGAAATGCTTGAGAGCCAGGTGACTTCCGTCGATCGCAGCCCTTGGCACTTGGTCCTGTGCTTGTTTTTAATAGGTCTTTCTCCCATTAATCAGGAGGTTTTTGTGAACAGGAAATATGCCTTGTTCATTTCTAAAATCTTTGTGGCCAAGCAAGCTGTTTGGTACACTGTAGGTGCTCAGTAAATGTTTAATGCATGAAGAAGAAAATACTAACAAATAGTAGAAATTATGGCTGAAGTGAGACATTGAGCAATTTTGCTTGAAGGCCTTTCTTTCTTCTTTTTTCTTTATTTTTTGAAGGTCTTTCTAATGGAGAAAACCAGTAAAGTGTCCTTGTTCAAGTGATCTGTCTTCAGTTCATTAATTCTCTTTTTGGCTGCATCTTACTGCTGACAAACCCAGCTGCTGAGTTTTAAATTTCAATAATTACTTTTGTATTACTAGAAGACATACTGTTTTCAAAATTTGCTCTCTCATTCTGCACTGTGCCCTATCCCTTTTACATATTTTCAAGCTTATATTCGATTTTCTTGAAATGCATTAAACATATTCATGTTATAGTCAATCTGATAATTCTGTTAATTTGAAATCCTTGCAGATCTTTTTCTTAATAGTGGAGTTTTGTGCATTGTATGTTTAGTTTTGACAAGGAGCAGTTTATTTTCTTTGGAATTTCACTTGTGAGAATTCTTTGAGGCCCAGAATGAGGTAGATCCCTCCAGAGCCTGTTTGAGTTTGCAGCTTCCAAGCGTATGGGGCATTACCAGTCTAAGATTCCTTTGCATTATAAGCTTGAGGAAATGAGCACTCATAATGCAAAGCCTTGGAGGGCCAGCCTGCAGGTGAGAGCTTCAGTGGCGGTTCCTCCCGGTTCCTTTACTTCCATTCAGCACCAGATTCCTTGCAGGCCCTTTAACCTATGAAGAGTTGTTCTTGGTGGTGTATTTAATTCTAGTTGACACATAGATAAAGATGTGGCCTATTGGGGGCACCAGATTTGTGGCAGGGGAGGGTTTTCTGTAAGATCCCTTACTTTGGCTGAGCCCTGGACTTCGTCATCTCTTCCCTGCACTCCACAGAGCCATCAATATGGAAGCTGAAGGTTACCAGGTTACACAGATGCTCTCAGGGTCAAAGCTGGCTGCAGTGTCCTAATGACCTCTTTGGGTTTCTGAGAATTCATGCTTTCTTGTATCCATGCTTTAAAGGGAATACATTTCATTTTATCCAGGATTTTTAAAAATTGTTTTCCACTGGAGAAAACCCAGGCTATCATGTTACCAGTACCCGCTGTTCATCCAGCTCAGTTGTCTTAGTAGTAACCATATTTACTTTCCCATCCCGCTTAAAAATACTACAAACATTTCTGCCATGCTTCGTTAGCTGCAAGCCTCACCGCACAGACATACAGGCATGAATCCCATGGATGGGAGAGGATGAGAGGAGAGTGGGAAGATTGCCCAGCAGGCCTTGCTTAAGCTCCAGAAACTTCCATCTGTGTGTCAAAATTGAAAGTGGAAATCACCAAGGAAGCAGGAAAGGTGAGAGAGGGGGAGAGAGAGAGAGAGAGAGCGAGAGAGAGAGAGAGAGAGAGAGAGAGAGAGAGAGAGAGAGAGAGAGATTCTACTCTGGAATAACAAAGGTCCTAAATCAATTGTATCCATACATGACTGAACCTTCAAAACTTTTATCCACATCTGTCATTTGGTTCTAACAGCACCATGCAGTCTCTGAACTTAAACTTATATCCATAGACGGTAGAAGGAGTGCAGAGAAAGATGTGGATGGGATGGAAAGCCCCAACCCAAGTGCCAGAGAAAGCAGTCGGGGAGAGGGGTCACCCCATACCATCCCAGTGCTTGCCTAGAGGCGTCAATGCAGCGCTGTCTCCAGGGGGCTAAACAGAAGGAACAGAAACCTTCTGCAATCACCATCGAAACCAAAGCATAAGTATATTTTATACCTCAACTCTTCAGATTAAAAGTGGGGAAATACTAGTTGGCCCCGAACATATTATTAGGTTACATGTGATATTCGGAAGCTTCGATTGACAGAGGTACCTGATATCTTTGGTTAATTGGAGGTTGGGGGTTGAGGGTATGAGAAAGGAAGTAATAAGTATATCAAACCCTCAAAGTATGTTTTTGGCATCACTGTGTTGTTTTGTTGGGAAGAATATAGTAAAATAAATCTATGCCTCTAGAAACCAAAATTCCAAAATTTCCCCTTTTTATTAGGAAAGGAAGAGAAATCAGCTTCAGATGACCTTAAAAGATGGATCAGACCTATGTTCAAGAGACATGATTTGGAAATTTAACAAGCCCATTTATACTGGAGAAATCAAAGAGTAGAGCTTAAATTTGGCCAGAACTACAACAAAAGGTTTTGCTTGAACCTATGCTAGACCTTTCATGTGTTTTTTCCTCTCTGCCCACATGCTAAACAAGGAAAGAGTCACCGACTGTGATGAGCTTTTTACTTTATTTCACACTAGCTGCATCGGCTTATTGCTGTAACTCTTGCAGAGAGGCTTGGTGCATTGGTGTCTTCATGAAACCCCAAGGGGGTGAAGAGAGAATATTCTGTTGGATACTACAACAGAATGGCAAAGGAAGAATTTATTCCAGCTGGTGGTACAGAAAGAGTTATGCGGAGTGAGAAGCCAAGAAAGAACTACAATTTTTAAGAAACACAAAACTTGCCTTCCAAAAGAAGAAGAATGACATGATCAGTACCAGGTTTGGAACATGGTGGGGGCAGTAGGTGATGAGGAGTGAATCTCATCATGGGTTACATCTGAAACTCGGGGCCTGGAATGAACCCCTAGGAAGAAAAAAGTCCCGGGAGGTAGATGGAATAAGATAGAGAAATATACCACATAAACATCTAGATTAGACTTACAAAATGGCCCCCTGCCTATGTTGGGAGGGATGACCTATTTCTGAGATGAGAAAAATCTCTACCATGGTTAGTGCCTCAATTCCTCTTAAGGTATTCCTTTCAATACGTTAAGAGAATTGAGAACAGGCAACATCTGTAGTCAAAGAACTGTACGTTTGGATGCTTTTGTAAACATACACGAATATTCCAGTTTTACAGCAAAGACCAAATGCTTCCCAGCTCCTAAAGGCACTGAAGGAGGCCAGGGTCCTTCTTTTATATTCCAATCTTGTTTGAAGCTTCCATAAATAGTCTTGTCCCTTGAAGATATGAATTAAGAAAACAGCTGACTTCAGATATGCCAAAGGCAACACTTCAGAGCAGAAATGTACGCCTGTCACTATCATTTAGCCTCTAGATGCCGCTAGAGAGATGACCATGGACTTCCAGTATTGTCACATTGCCTGAAGGCAGAGAAGAATGCCTTATGGTAGTCCTCTAGGAGGCTTTATAGTGGGTCTGTCTCTTGTATATATGGAAAAAAAGAACATGTAGCAGGAAAAGAAGGAAATGACCACCTCTCGAGTGCCTCTGTCTACTAGGCTCTGTGCTGGTGGTTTTGCAGTCAGACCAAGGTCTGGGAGGTACATCAAACTGATTTTAGTCCTTGATGCCATACAGATACAATATTCAAACATGGCTTTACCAGGCATTGCTATAGCCTGTCCGTCTTTCTCTACAAAAACTCTCTATGTCTTATCTCATGAAGTGCGGTGATGGTGTTGGCAGCAGCCAGATATTGCTGTCTCTGTTTTACAAATAAGAAAACTGAAGCAAAAGGTGATGCTTTTGTTCATAGCTGAACCATGATGCCGGGGCTGAGAGTGGAATCCATGTCTTGACTTCATGTACCTCCTCAGTCCTGGCCAGTGGAACAGGAATGGATTTTCAGCTTGGGTTTATCTTGACGGTACATCGGTGTGGATGAGGATGGCTGTGGGAATTGGAAGTACTGGCTTTGGAGTCAGAAGACCTGGGGTCAGATTTTAGCCCTCCAGTCTCCTCTGTGTGAACCTTACTTTCCCTTTAAAGTGGAGAGTTTGGTTTACAGCTTTACGTTTCCTTCTGGTTTTAAATTCCGTGAGCATGACATCTTGCCTTGTTCCAGTACTTATTCTTTCATTCTCCTATCTCCATTTTGCTATTATCTCATTTGAATTTTAAGATGGGGAATTTTCTTCCTTTCAGAGCTGTTTTTTAAGACTTCTGTTTTATATTTTTCCTCTCAATCCAGTGATTCATACTATTCCATTAAAAATCACTGTGCTGAAGCTTTTAGTTATTTCCTTCAGAACTACTAAGGAACTGCTATTCAAAAGGTTGCGATGACAAGTCGGAGGCAGGCTTGCTGATTAGCGAGGAACAGATGATGTTTCCTGCCTCCTCTCTCCCCTGTTAGGCATAGGTAAAGGATGCAAATAAAAATGTGATTGATAAATGGAAGCTCTCCTTGTGAGAAAGGCTTTAAAACTTTTGCCAGCCTTGTCAGCAGCCTGCAGGAAGGGTCTTGGGTTTGACAGATGCTCTCATTTTGGCTGGCAGTCCCTGGGGAACTTTTTGACTGGAGTTTTAAGATTCCCAAAACCATTCTTTTCCCTCCTTCCATTGGGACATTGGGATTGGTAAATAATCTCACCCATCTTGATTTCTTATTTTTGTTTTGTTTTGTTTTTGAGATGGAGTCTTGCTCTGTCACTCAGGCTGGAGTGCAGTGGTACTATCTCAGCAACCTCTGCCTCCCAGGTTCAAGCAATTCTTGAGCCTCAGCCTCCTGAGTAACTGGGATTACAGGCGCACACCACCATGTCTGGCTAATTTTTGTAGTTTTGGTAGAGACAGGATTTCACCGTGTTGGCCAGGCTGGTTTCGAACTCCTGACCTCAGGTGATCTGCCTGCCTCGACCTCGCAAAGCTGGGGTCACAGGTGTGAGCCACTGTGCCTGGCCAGGGTGTGTTCTTTCATGCAGGCTGGAGTGCAGTGGCATAATTATGATTCACTGCAGCCTCCACTTTCTCAGCTCAAGTGATCTTCCCACAGCCTCCCCAGTGGCTGTGACTACAGGCATGCCACCATGCCCAGCTTGTTTTCTTTTAAAATTGACACTAGAGTTATTGCTATTATAATAGAGCTAATAGAAAGACTTGAATTAAGTACCAGGTGATAGTCATTTTTTAAAGCTTAGCTCTGATAGCGTGAGATGCTTTTCCTACATGGCCAGACAGATGGTCTGAGAGTGAAGTGATAACAGGCATAAACATTGATTCAATGAGGAGTAACTTGGTTACTTTCCAGTTTTGCTTCCTCTGGCTTTTCCCTTTTCAGTTTTTTCAAATTCAGTTGTTCCCTCAGGGACAGGTCTGCCTTTATTTGAGTCCTCCGCCACTTCCCACCCTCTGCTAGCCCCTCCCCTGCCCAGTCAGACCTGGTGCACAGCTGCACTTCCTGATTGTTTGCACTGGAGAATCTCGACAGTGGCTTCCTCCCCAAGGGCCACGAAAAACATCTGGACACATTGTCTGCAAATGACAAAAGAAGGAGTGTGGCAAAACATGAACACAAGACAGCCAGTTTGGGATAGCACATGACCGCCATCAAGACAAGAGGGCATCTTAATTTTCCTCCCTCATTCTTCCCCCACTTAAGGTGAAAATGGAATGATCTGCATTGGAGAGATAATTTTTTCTTAGAATTCAGCTACGTGGGCACTCTACAAAGCAAACTGATTTCAATTTTAGCCTAGAAATAACTTGCTCAAGGGTTTGGGGGTAAGGGCATCTGAAAGAATAAGAATAATTAGGTATCTGATTCTGATGCTGAAAAGGTGGGTACAGTAAGTGAGAACAGAAGGTGAGTGCAGTGATGATTGCATAGAAATTTTGTGTATTCAAGGTTCCCGGAGCCTTGCAGTATACTTGATTTTACTTAAAAGCAAAATAAATTTTAAGACCCTATCATTAATTATTATTCAGACTCAGAAGGCCTTTCTAATGGTTTCCTCAAGTGGTCTCCAATTCAATTAGGTCAAATTGAGCCCCTGATTAATGACAGGCTTTATCTTAGTTTCTAATCCTTTACCAGGGAAACCTGATCAACTGCTTCACACACCCAGCAGTCTTTAAAGAAACAACAGAAAAATCTCCAAACTTACTGATTGGCAACCTATTCCACCAGGGAGTTCCATCTTGTAGGTGCCTACGTTTGTCAAGCCAAGTGTGTAAGGACTGCACCCGTGGTAGGCTCCTCTGCAGAGAAGAAACAACAGGAAGATGGGGTCAAGTTCCTGGTCCACTGAGTAGGACAAAAGAGAAAATCCAGGAAGGCTATGAAGATGAAATAGAACATCATTCACATTCACCTCTGATTTCTAAGAATGCATCTAAGCCTATGTCAGGTAAATGTTCCTAATAGTCAGAACTAACTGTTGTTAGAAAACATAGATTTGAAACTGTGAAAGGAATTTTGGAGACCATTTGTCCAAGAACTCCCATTTTAGGACTTGCCCTACCCTATGACTCTATAGTAACGAGACTTATCTTTTAACAACATACCAGAAATTATATGTTCAATTAATACCAGTCTTCAAAGTAGTCACCTTGGGAAGCCAAACATCATTTCCTGTGATATACCTGTTGTTCAATATCTTTAGGGACTTACACACCTTATAAACCACCTTGCTCTCCATATAAGAAACAGGTTTTTGGCTGGGCACAGTGGCTGATGCCTGTAATCCTAGCACTTTGGGAGGCCAAGGCAGGCAGATCACCTGAGGTCAGGATTTCGAGACCAGCCTGACCAACATGGAGAAACCCTGCCTCTACTAAAAATACAAACCAGCAAACCCAGCTAATTGCTGGGTGTGGTGGTGCATGCCTGTAATCCCCAGCTACTTGGGAGGCTGAGGCAGGAGATTCACTTGAACCTGAGAGGTGGAGGTTGCGGTGAGCCGAGATTGCACCATTGCACTTCAGCCTGGGCAACAAGAGTAAAACTGTCTCAAAAAACAAAAAACAAAAAAACACAAAAAACAACCCCCCCCCAAAAAAACCCCAACAAAACAGGTTTTGTTTCTTTTGAAACAAATCCTAGTCACACAGTGTCAGCTTCAAATGAGTTTTAACAATTTCCCATATCAAAATCACCTTTAAACAAAGATTTAGGACTATTAATACTATTCAAAAGAATGGTTACATTAGGTCCGTGCAAAAGTAATTGCGGTTTCTGCCATTACTTTTAATGGATATACATATGTCCAGGACATATTCTGGAATGTTGTTTAGGTAATGCATCAGCCACAATTCTTCATTGCCATGTTTCTTTGATAGCAAATATTTTCTTATTCCTGTAATAACTGCATGTTCATTTGATATGGAATGTGCAGCATCGAATATGCTATCATAAGGATTAAATAAAACCTTCTTTTGAATTCACACAGAAATGATGACCAGACAGGTTAAAAATGTGACTATTTCTTCATTCCACTAACTTTTATCATAAGTCATCCCTATCTTTTACATCAACCTTAAGGGAGTCTGTTTAAATGTGCTGTATACGATTACCCAAGGAGGCAACTATAAGCAAAATGCTTAATTTTCTATTATTTTTTAGTGCTAATACAGCCATGAAGGGTTTATTAGTTAATCTATTAAGTTATTAGTTTAAGAGTCACCGAAAGAAGCAGAAATATACAGGGTTATATATGCATCCTCTGAACTTAAGGAGAATAAAAGGTGAAAAACGGGCTCAGCTAGCTCTATGAAATAAGTGGATAGCTCCTTACCATAAGCAGAAGTTAAAATGTGCCTGGTATCATTTGGTAGAGCCTTGATCTTCTAGGGTGGGGAATAGTCATTTACTGCTTGGTATATGGTGTGGTCCCTGCCACATCTTGAAAGTTAAAAAACTGTCATGTGGGTTTCTCTTTCAATCCACAGGAGGATCTGTGACATAATGAGGAGTTCAAGCTGTTTGTTACAGTTGGGACCCCCTATCTGGTAACAGGCTAACTTGGATGGAGTTGCACAGTCATAAGATTCAATTGACCGATCCTACCTTAAAACTTACAATTAGAAAAATATCCCTGAGAAAACCTCTCTCCCACTCCATGCTGCAATTTAAAGATACACATTTAGAAGGGGGTAAGTCAATGTTACTAATGTTGATTATTCCAAGTTGTGATTACCTGAAGGAAATGATGTCTATGTTGTTTGAGTGTGCCCTGGCCATCAGCATGGCCAGATCATTGGCTTCTGAGCCACTGTTCACCAAGAAAATGACCTGGAGAAGAAAGGAAGACACGTGGCCTCATAATTTATTTCCTTATTACCTAATTTATTCAAAACTGCTGAAGGGCATGTGAACAGCCTCTGAGTATGAAGGAGAGTTCCCTTCAGACCAGCTCGGATTACCTTCCAGTTCCATCATTAAACCACACTGTGTGAATTCTATAGCCCTTCCTGGCATAGCTGCTGAGTGCTAGACATACAAAAATGGCTAAGAGATTGTCTCAGCTGTGGAACATTCCAGGCTTTCATTGGCTTTATTTGATGCTCTGCAAAATTCCAAGAGGGGCGACTTGCTGAGGGGCACACATTGGTGAGTAGCTGATAGATCCAAATACTGTGTTTCTTGGCTCCTGACCCTAACCCACTCACCTGATTCTGAAGGGTTGGAAAAGACAGGACCCCTTACCCTGAAACTCCAGGGGTTGTTCCAGCTGGACTGTGCTTTGTGTGTAAATGTTGAAAAAAAAACCAAGTAAATAAGCTGGGTGTGGTGCCTCAAGCCTATAATCCTAGCATTTTGGGAGGCTAAGGTGGGCAAATCGCTTGAGATCAGGAGTTGGAGACCAGCCTGACCAATATGGTGAAACCCATCTCTATTAAAAATATGAAAATTAGCCAGGTGTGGTGGCAGGCACCTGTAATCCCAGGTACTCAGGAGGCTGAGGAAGGAGAATCGCTTGAACCGCGGAGGCAGAAGCTGCAGTGAGCCAAAATTGCACCATTGCACTCTAGCCTGGGCAACAAAGTAAAACTCTGTCTCAAAAAAAAAAAAGAAAAGAAAAGGAAAAAACAAGTAAACAATTAAAAAAACAAAAAATGCAGCTCAGCCTGGATGAAAGAATGGGGAGAATAAAAGCAAACTGTGCCCTCGAGACTCAGGGACTGGAAGTCATGTGTTTGTGACTCTGCTGACTTCTCTGCTTCTGCTCCTCCATGAACATCTGGGCTGAATTGAGGTTGCAGTTCTTCCAAGTTTCTTCACCTATTCTAGGTAATGTAGACACCATGGTAAAATAATAATAGCTAACACTGGGGTCTGAGCACTGTTCTAGATTCTTCGTATGTATTAACTCATTTAATGCCGCAATAGAAGTCTTGGCCAACATTTTAACATCTCAGTTTAGTTTAAAACATCAGTCATTTCAGATGCCGAGAAATAGTTCATGTAGAAAAACATATCTAAGTGTATTTTGGACTAAATGAACCAAATGGCATTTATTAAAAATGGTTCCACTTTTGTAAAAGAAATGCAAATAACTTTGCACAAAGGCTAAGGAGCAATGAGATAAAAACCTCTTGAGGACATAGGTGAGATCAGAAGGCCCACGGCTCCCGGGAAGTGATTTCTGCAAAGATATGGCGAGGAGAGCAACGACGCTCAGAGGTGACACAAGGGAACACTGGCTTGTTTCACCAGCAATTCATACATTCCCTTCTTTGGTCTGATTGCTTTCAGATGTAGCTATCAGATCACCACTGCAGATGTTCAATGCAAAGGCTAAATTCCTTGCTCATCCTCCTGCTTCCTAGGGCAGCTCCCCCAGAATCAAAAGACTCCTGTCCCTTTGAGCTGGGAGCATCATACCTTCTTTTCTACCCATAAAATTCAGCTCCTGCGGGAAGAGCATTGTACCTTAAGAGGCTCAGGAAGAAGCGCGGCAAGCTTCTCAGCATATTCGTGTATCGGAGCGTGGAAGAAGATGGCGCTTGTATGCCACAGGCGGCCGAGCTGCTTTTGCGCCGCTGCGTTCACCGTCCTGGATAAGCAGTAGAGCAGAGTTACCTGCACTGTGTGCCACGTCCCTCCTGCGCACGCACTGGCCATTGGACCCAAACATACTGTTTTTTCTCAGAGTTTCAAGAGGCAGATTTTATCCACACATGAGAATAAACTCCCTTAACCACTGAAGGTGTCCAGCAATGGGATGTGTTGCTTCAAAAGGTAATGAATTCCTTACCAAGAGCAGGGTTCAAAAGGAGACTCAGTGATTACAAGAGGTTTTAGAAAAGAAATGCCTTGTTTAGGAGGAAGTTTGGGCTTAGAATTTCTTCTAACTATGCTTTCTTATTAACCATCCTTTGAACAGTTTGGAAAAAGAGATGACTAGCTGTAAGCCTGAGTTCTTAATTTTTCTAAAGAAGAATAGATTCAACAAGCACATGTATGCAAGATCAATAGTTCTCCCCTCCCGCCCTTTCTCCCTTCCTTCTTTTCTTTCTTAAGGAATGGGCTCTTACTATGCTGCCTATGCTGGAGTGCAGTGGCTATTCACAGGCATAGTCATAGTGTACTGCAGCCTCCAATTCCTGGGCTCGAGATCTTCCTGTTTCAGCCTCTTGAGTAACTGGGATTACAGGTGCATTCTATCATGTCCAGCTAAGATTAACAGTTTTTCTGCAGGGAGATTCTAATATCTGAGTCTGAAAAGTGGTTAGTGTGGATAAACATTTTGTAGCTATGAAGTCACATTCTTTGAAGGATTGGGCCAACCTTACAGGATTAGAAGGTTCATACTGAGAGATAATAGGGACTAAGGATGATAGATTTGTGGAATCTGACTTGGCTTTGAAAACAAAAGCCAAGATGTCTGCACTTGCTGTAAAGGACATTAATGACTAAAGTTTGTTATATACAAATTTTATTTGTTGTGAATATCTTTCACATCAGAAAAAATCAATTTAGTGGGTAAATATTTTGAGAAATAGCAGATCATACAGATTTCTTTACTACAGGACATTTTAGTACCTATGACAGACTAATGTACACTGTTTCTCTTCAGAAGGGAGAAATAGTTTAAAGGGTTTCCCAAACCGATTTTCTCATAGGACCCTTTTCCATGGAAACTCTTACGATCAGTGATCCATGAAACTCATTTTAGAAAATTGTGAAGTATCAGTAAACTCTTGAAAAGAAGAGACACTTGACAAAAACATTGTTTACCAAAAACAGGAGGAGAAGGGAAGATGGCTTCCCATTACCAGGGGACACTGTCCATGTTATTGGGAAGATTCAACAAGAATGTTTGAACTCATTTTCGACTCCATTTTCTCTACTTCTTTCACGTATGTTTGTCCTATGTTTTAAATTGCATCTGAAATTTATTTTGGATACTTCCTGGGACTCTGCATGAGACTATGGCCTCCTGATGATGGAAGAGGGTAGGAGAAATCAAGGGGAGGAAAAGATGAGGGCCGGGCCCTGAGGCACACCCACGCCTTACCTCCTGACAGCTGCCTGAGGGAGGACTCTGTGCCTCTTGCTTTGACAGAAGGGCCCAGACCTAATCAGTTTATTTTAGACTTGCTGCTTTATTGCTTTCCCCTAACTTAGTGTGGGTTTCATTGGTCAGATTATCAAAAGAAAGAGAACAGACATGAAATAAGAGGCCTGCATGGAGACCAAGAATGCTCCAAGGGTATTTGTGTGGGCGAGTGGACAGGCAACACTGCAATCTCTAGATTAATTGATCCATGCACTTCCAGGTACGTTTTCAGCTAGGATTGCCTCTGTCTTTTATCATTCTTCTTTTCCTCTTTCATCTCTCAGAGGCCGTGAAGAAGATCCCCAGGCTAGAAGCTATTTCTCATCTCTCATCAACCCTCGCCTGACAAGGCTGTCCCGTGCTTCTCTGACAGCCGCCTGTCTTTCCCTTCCCTTCCTTTCCCTGAATGCGCCCCTCTCTTTGGAAGGCTGTTGCTAATGAGAAACACACACGGCAAGACTCCAGCCACATGGTACGTGCCACACTACATGTGCCATGAGAGTAACAAAATCTTGCATTGTCAAGAAAATGAAAAGTAGAGTGTCAAGGTTTTGTACTCAGGAAATAGCAGGGAGTATGTCAGCCACAATCTGTAATAGATATATTTTTTAAAACAAGATAAGCAAATCAAGAGTTCAGAGTCACAAACATAATTGTTTTCCATGCGTTCTTTTGCAAAAGAAATCCCCAGAGTTCAAGGATACTCACGGGTGGCAGTGGCCAACGCTGACAGTAACAATCCCCGAAAAGAAATCCAGGTATCTGTTTCCCTCAGCATCAAAGAGCCACTCCATGTGCCCCTGGTGGAGTAGCAGGGGTTTCTGGAAAAATGCCGTCACCACAGGAGAAAGATGTTCCTTGTGGATTTCCAGGACACGGCTGTAGCCAAGGGACTGCAGATAAACAAGATTTAAACCCACACGCTTCTTACAAGATCAACAGCAGTCAATCTACGAGTAACAGTGTCCCGTCTCTCTAGTGGACGGAGCAGAGGGCTGCTGGCCTGTAGAGGCTCAAAAGTGGATGGACATTCCCAATATAGTCCTCACAAGAACTTAAAGCCTTTTCTTTTAAGGGGGTGAATTATTATTTGTAGCCTTTCAATCTCTTTCTAGGTCAAATGTGGAAGAAAGGGCTGGAATTTCTACCTATCAATAAAAAGCCTTGGCTTTGAGTTGATTTTAACTATGAAAAAAATGGACTTTGGAAGTAAATGTCTGAAATAATAAGCAAGCAATTAGTCTGAACTAATAAGTCATTATTGTTGTGGTAGTTTTTTAAAACATAAAAATGCAATGAAGTGCTGGTCATGTTTGTATCTTTAATTACAGAATCTCTCTCCTATATTTGTCTTCTTTGTGTACCCTCACGAGTACCTATTGATTCTACAATTTCTAACCTGTAAGTATCATGTAGAATAAAGAAGTTGCTGTGTGTGCATGTGCTCACGCATACGTGAGAGAGAGACAGAAAGAGAGAGAAACAAGGAAAGAGAGAGAGAGAAAATGCCAGCTCAATCTTTGTTAGCCTGAGAACAAAAATATAACTTCATAATTTTTGCTGGAGGACTCAGGAAGGTCAGATGGCCACATAAGTCAATTAAAACAGGAGCAACATTTATTTTAAAGCCAATGTATGCCATCACATTTGTGGTGTGTGTGTGTGTGTAGCTCCTGCAATACATATATTAATTACTGTGTATAGACTGTTTCTTGTACCCTCTCTCTTTGCCTCTGTCTCTGTCTCTATCTTTCACACATGGACACCAATTCATATACTAGCATTAGGGGAGTAAGAGGGTTTCAGATGCTTCCAATGACTTAGAGGGCATAATATCTGGAAGGAGATAGTTTAGTGGCAGGCAGGGCTATTTTTGTGTCATTTTAAAGGAAATAATCAATGGAGACCTCCCCAGAGAAACCACCTCTTTGGGTTTTCCTAAAGTCCTGAATCTTACCTGGTATTTTTCAGGTGTGAAGTCACATGGAGGCATTCTGGGCCTGGTATGGAGACCAAGCTTGGTTACTGATGTCCAGGAAGCTCCTACTGAAAGTGAAGTGAGTTAGAATCCTCAACCAAGCACAACATAGGTCTGTTTGTGAAAGTCACCTATAGTTATCCAAATGAAAGTGCTGAGGCCATTTTATATTTTAGTTAAAAATTATGTAAATCGGCTTTTAGTTTGGATTAAAAAACTGAGTATCTCAATCATGAGTTTTCTGAAGAAAAAAAGAAAAAGTAGTTCTCAAATCTAGTCTGAAAAAAAATCTACTGCAGTACCTCACAAGCCTGGGAGCTCAGTTTAGGCAAACTGTCCACGTGACTCTCACCACGTTGACTCTCTTGTCGGTAGGCAAGCTTCTGCCGGTGCACTGTGTTGTTAAAGTCCGTCCTCTGCTAATAGAGGTGCTTTTTAGGCTCCAGGCTGCCTAGTACCTGAATTCTAGTGTGTAGCCAGTGCCTGGTACCTGGTTAGCTCTCAATACAAATAGAATTAATGACTGTTGACTATTCTTGTAGAGACTGAGGAGAGACAGGTGTTAGACAATGTACTGGAGTAATAAATGCATGCAAGTAGACCCAGAAGATGAAATCTCCCTGCTCCCTCTCCTCCCACTCCCCCAAAAGGCTGCCAAGACAAAACAGGGATAAATTGCGCCAGATTCATTAAATATCTGGAGCTAGAAGGGACCTTACATTTGTGTGTGTGTGTGTGTGTGTGTGTGTGTGTGTGTGTGTGTGAAAATGCATACTTTACAGATAAGAAAACCAGCGTAAAGTGGTAAATTAATCGGTTTAGGGTTATCAAGCTAGTTCCTGAAGAACAGGAAGAAAACTCCTCTGACTCCCAGCTCAGTAGTCTGTTTTGCTCGTTCCTCAGCCACTTCCACCCTTCCCTGCCAGCACAGACTTTGGCCTCTCTGCAGCAGTAGAATGGAATGATGGAATCAGAATGTCAGAGCTGGAGGAGGTGTCTAGAGACCTTGTAAGTATTCCTAGGAAAGATGCTCCTACTTTTGGAGAAGACTCAAGGTCAACATTAAGATAATTTTCAGGTGGAGAGAGCTGAGGAAATTACATCTCTTTCTCAGCATGAAGATTCAAATGCATGAAAGAAATGTTAGAGTTCTGTGTGGCTATGAAGTCACAGTCCTGAGAAACATAATGAACAATTGCATTTTTAAATGAAGATGGAAAGTAACAGCTCTGAATATTTCTTTTTTCAAAGAGATCCCATTCATTTTTCTGCTTTGAGTAAGCACTAATGTCATTAATTTGCTCTTACTTTAAAAGCAAGTGACTTTGGTTATCTATGCATAGAAAAGACCAAAAAATTTGATAGCTTCAGTTTTCTGAGAATTTCACCTTTTAAAAAGCTTTTCATTGTGTCTCTCTGCATTAGTTATTCTTCTGAGATGGGAAAAAAAAATTCCGAGTGTTTCTAAGAATTCAAAAATCCTTTCGTTTCTTCAGTCTCATTTTCCTACCTGCAAAATTGGAGGTGCCCATTGAAGAGGTTGTAAGCGCTTTTGACTCCAAGGTTACAGGAATTATGAAAGTAGGCTGGAGCGGAAAGGGAGTTGGAGAAAAAGACTCGATAAAGAAAAGATTGAATTTTAAACAGCCAAGGTAGTCTTATTCATTCATTTATTCACAAAAGTGTTATGCATATGATGGTGGAGTGAGGGCTTGGCTTCAAATGAAATACATGAAATTCTGCAAGGAAGAAAGGAGAAGAAGGGGAGAAGGAGAAGAAAGAGGAAGGAAGACATAGAGACATAGTAATTAGCAAGTAAGGAAAGAATAATAGGAATCAATAAGTGAAATAAATCTGGATAATACCTCAAAATCTATTGACTGTCATCACTCCTCTTAATAAATAACTAAAACTCAAAAATAATAGTAATGATATTGATATGGACAGAAAGAAGTAAATATGCCTTGGTTTTTATTATTTGCCAGAAAAAAATTAAAATCTAACTATTTAGATAATTGTATGCATTCTTTATTCCAAACAGCCTGTGTTTTGAGGATGACATAAGAGTTGAGGGTTCATCAAGCTTTTTTGGGGCTCCTGGAAATTGTGTATGTGTATAGATATAGGTACATGCATACCTGTGTGTGTGTGTGTGTGTAAGACACAGATGGTGGTGGATTAATAAAACTCGAATATAGTTTTATTAATCCTAATCTCATTTATTTCTGAATAGGTATTTGTATTGTTTTTGTCTTATTGTTTTAACTAATTGGATAGTGCCTTTTTAGGCTAAACAGATGACAGCTAATGATTTTCATCCAATTACCCAATTTTCGCTTCAATTCACCTGAACAACTCAAGGCGTTGAAGGATGGAATTCAATTTGGAGACCATCTCTTGTATAATATATGCCAAGTGGGTAACTAGCAAGCTTTAATTTCCCAGCTGCCTGCTTCTCACAGAGTGCTATAGCATGCAGGTCACTGTAACTTTGTTTTCATTCCCAAACTCATAATATGCAAAGACAAAAACTGTTGGGCAAAGCAAGTGAGAAAAATCAATATTTGGCATTTGGAAACTCTCGGGAAAGTTCTCTTTGCAATGATAAAGAGTTTTCTAGTATTCACAACCAGTTTTCAGTATTCACAACCAGTTTTCAGCCCAGAGGGAGTATTTATTAAGGGCTTCCTCACCCTTTTTCTAAAATATTTGAAAATTTGCAATGGACACAGTGTGATTTATTAAAATGCTAATTATTATTATTATTGAGACAGGGTCTGGCTCTGTTGCCCAATGCTCATATGTGTTAAAATGATGACATGCTATCTGAGCTGCAATATTTTTAAAAATTAAAGGAAAGAATTTAAAAAAAAAAGTATGGCTTCAATTTACAGATACCCAGGGATGATTTCTTTCTAGTTTTCTTTTTTGAGACAGGGTCTCCCTCTGTCACCCAGGCTGGAGTACAGTGGTGTGATCATGGCTCACTGGAGCCTCAACCTCCCAGGCTCAAACAATTCTCCCATCTCAGCCTCCTGAGTAGCTGGAACCATAGGCACATGCCACCATGCCCAGCTATTTTTCTTTTTTTACTTTTAATAGACATGGTGTCTTACATGGAGTGCAGTGCCGTAATCCCTGCTCATTGCAACCTCTACCTCTCAGGCTCAAGTGATCCTCCTATCTCAGTCTCCCTGGTAGCTGGGACCACAGGTGCGTGCCACCACGCCTAGCTAATGTTTTGTATTTTTAGTAGTGACTGGGTTTCGCCAGGTTGTCCAGGCTAGCCTTGAACTCCTGAGCTCCAGCGATCTGTCTGACTTGGCCTCCGAAAGTGTTGTGATTACATACGTGAACCATTGCACCTGGCCTAAAATGCTAATTATATCTCATTTCTATATAGCATCTTATGTAACTTGAAAAAAGCCTTGTCACTTTTGGAATCTCGTTTGATACTTAGGATAGCCAATGAATTAGGAAAGGAAGATTTCATCCTCTACCCACCTTAGAGTGGAGGCAGTGACTGATGGAATTTGAAGCCTTGGCAGTTTTGAAGCCCCTCACCAATGTTGAGGGTTTAAGGTACCACCTCCCAGGGAGGCCTGCTGAAGCTGTGCTGGGGTTTGGACGCCTGAGGGGCAGTGTTTGGTCGGTGGAGAAACTTTTTCTCCTCCTTTTCCCTGTGCTGCCAGCTTGGGGACTCCGGAGTGATCCTTTTCCCTTCACACATGGGGGTGCAGTCTGCAGGGTGTTGCAGAGGACCCTTGCCATTGCTGCTGGGTATCATCCAGCTCTAGACATGATCTCTCACAGCCCTCTCTGTGGATGTCCCCTCTGTCTCATGTGTGCTCTGGGAGAAAGTATGATGGTGATGAATTCCAGGTGCCTTCTTACCCCCAGCGAAGCTGTTAAGAGGTGGTTCCTGGCCGGGCATGGTGGCTCATGCCTGTAAACACAGCACTTTGGGAGGCTGAGGTAGGAGGCTCACAAGGTCAAGATCACAATGTTCAAGACCAGCCTGGCCAGTATGGTGAAAACCCTTTTCTACTAAAAATACAAAAAAATTAACCAGATGTGGTGGCGCACGCCTGTAATCCCAGCTACTCAGGAGGCTGAGGCAGGAGAATTGCTTGAACCCAGAAGCGGATATTGCAGTCAGCCGAGATCGCACCACTGCACTCCAGCCTGGGTGACAGAGGGAGGCTCTGTCTCAAAAAAAAAAAAGGCGGCCGTTCCTCGCGGAAGTTACTCTACTCCTGTCTGCTCTTCCTTGGCTTCTTTGCGTGCAGGGTCTATCCTCAGCCTTCTGTCAAATATTTCAGCCGTACTCCCTCCTTGCCTCCATTCCCTCATACCCTTCCAGTATATGCCCTTTTGCTGATGGCGAACAGGGGTAGTTGTGGCTGTCCACAAGCAAGAGCTCTGCCCGATTCCTGATTCTGAGGCAGGTGGGTCTTCCTTCTCTGCACGTTTGGAGTAGACATTCTCTGTGATCACTCTTCCTAGTCCTTGGCATGTGTTAAATCAGTTTTGACTGTGGCAAGGCTGCCTGGAGGGGTGCAGATGGGAGGCCTCTCTTTAGGGTGAATTTAACATTTTTTCTTAAAATAGGCTTGGCAGGAATGGGGAAACATCTCAGCTGGAGACGGATGCATTTTTGTGCCCCCCTTCCTTTGTGGGAGAACAGGCATACATTAGGAAATTGGTACATGGGAGCACATACCCCAGCTACCTGCAAATGTTGTACATTTCAGTCATTAGCTAACTGTGGGAAAGAATGCACCACTGAGATATTTCTCCACACTTTTGTACTGAAAACAAATTGCTTCCAATACTTTGCATACACAGTTAGCCTAAAGTGACTGTGCAGATCAAAGCGTAAACAAGGCTGAACATTTTATGCATATGAATACTGTACGGTAACTATGTAGGTGCTATACAAGATTTGTGACTTATTTATTTCTGTGTATCTAATAACATTAAAACACGATGATCTCCCTAACAGCTCCTCCCCTCACCCCATTATATTTTTCTATTTCCTTTCCTGATTTGGTTTTATTCATGGTTTCTCACTGGATACATATGTACACACACAAACACACACAGCACACACACACACACACACAATATTTTTTCTATTATATTTTTCTGTTCCCTTTCTTGATTTGGTTTTTATTCATGGTTTCTCTACTGGATACATACGTACATGCACACACACACACACACACTTTCTTTCTATTATATTATATTTTTCTGTTCCCTTTCCTAATTTGGTCTTTTTCATGGTTTCTCTACTGGATACACACACACACACACACACACACACACACACACACACACACACACACATTTTTTTTCTGTTATATTTTTCTATTCCTTTTCCTGATTTGGTTTTATTCGTGGTTTCTTTACTGGATACATATGTACACACACAAGCACACACATATATTTTTAAATATTTGCTTATTTGTCTACTTCCATCTTCTATGTCTTTTCTCCTGGAACGGGCAGGACACGGGCTTTTTCTTGCCTATTGTGGCTAAGTCTGTAGCACTGGTGCATAATAGACGCTCAAATATTTTGCCTGAATGTATTTGCACATGGCAGGTGCTCAGGAAATGTATGTTCATTGAGTGTGTGTTTGGATGAACAAGCAGAGGCAGGCGTAGACTTAGGTAGATTAGATAAGAAAGTAGACATAAAGGTCCCAAAGGGGCTGGACGCTGTGGCTCACGCCTGTAATCCCAGCACTTTGGGAGGCCAAGACCGGTGGATCATGAGGTCAAGAGATCGAGACCATCCTGGTCAACATGGTGAAACCCCGTCTCTACTAAAAATATAAAAATTAGCTGGGCATGGTGGTGCACGCCTGTAGTCTCAGTTACTCGGGAGGCTGAGGCAGGAGAATTGCTTGAACCCAGGAGACGGAGGTTGCGGTGAGCCGAGATCGCGCCATTGCACTCCAGCCTGGGTAACAAGAGCAAAACTCCG